CAGGAGGCCCTGGCATTAGGACAGGATGGGCCAGGGCTGGGCACATGGGAGGTGCTGGGCCCCTGCAGCCGGGTGGGGGTGGGAGGAAGCTGGCGCCTGCCCCTCAGCCCTGCCCAGCACTGCGAGGCCTCCCCGCTGGGCACCAGCTGCCAGGCCCGGCTCTCCCCAAAGCCCCTTGCTTGACACGAGACCCCCTCAGGAAATGGCAGCTCGAAGCGTCCTCTTTTCTCGACTCCATGAACCCAGTGGAGCAGTTTCTCCAGGGCCCAGAGCTTGGGGCAGGACGGTCCGAGCACCGTGGATGCCCATTTGAACTCCCCAAGTGTATCTGGGTAAGCCTGCTGGCGCGCCTCAGTGCTGATACTGCGTGCACCCTTGACAGGATCGCAAGGCACCTCAGGGGGCTGCGGCACCCCGTTGGGAGTCACTGTCTTAGGGGCAGGGATCGGTCCTTAGCAGCCGCTGCCCTGGATCAGGGCCTCTTGCAGGCAGGAGCGCTGTAGAGCCGGGGTCACAGCCCACTCGCTCCCCTTGGCTTCCCCTCTGCACCACGAGCCCACTTGGCCTCTGCTCTGCCCCAGCGGGGTGGTGGAGGACAGACTCTCGCACCTGCTGCAGCTGGGCTCGGGGAGCCCTCCCACACTGGGATTCAGGCCCTGCCGGGTTCCTGGCTCCACCAGCCCCAGCTCTCATCTCTTGGCGCATGGAGCCATCATTATACCGGAGCTGGCAGTGCCCCCACTGCAGGACAGGCGGGTTAGTGCCAAAGTCTCACGTGGTGGGGTCAAGCCTGGCTCCATTGAGAGACCAGAGAGGTGGGGATTGACATCAGCCAAGGCCCAGCCCAGAGATAGCAGTGCGTGCCAGGTACCACTCAAGCCAGGATCGGCGACGGTAGACTCCAGCCATTCCTGCGGGTATGGGTGATACCAGAGCAACCCCTGCTTCTGCCGCAGCACCGCTCTCTGCTTGATGCAGACATCAGTCACAATACGACCGTATCACCCAGTGCAGCAGGACATGCCTGTCTTTGGAGGGAAGCCAGCCCCTACGCTCTCTCTACTGCTCACCTGTGGCTCAAGAAGCAGGTCTAGAGCATCTTCTATAACCCACGTGTCTGGAGGGGGGCCCATCCTTCTCCCTGTTCTTGTTCCCAGAGCTGCCAGCCTCCTGGACTTGGTCCCTCCACCGGTGGCATCAAGATGGTCTCAATGAAGGGCACCTGCGTTTGAATCCGTCACCCTACAACAGGCGGGTGGATCCAGGATCTAATTACCTTTACAGAGGCTGTTCCCTCTAGGGAGACATAACTCCTTTACACTGAGATAGATGGGGCCAGGATCAGCTGCTCTGAGTGTAAGAAAGTGAAGTTTAGTCAGCTAAATCCTCAGCTGGCGTCATCTGTGTAACTTCTTCAGAGTCAATAGCACTTGGCTGGTTTAAGTTGAGTAGGGCGCTCGCACCGGTTTACTCCACACGTACCCACCCACACACTTCCTTGTGTATCTGGTTGGAATAAAATCCACCCCAGCCATCTCCTTTCTTATCATGATTTCTGACCCCTTTATTGAAAAATTCAGACTAAGTTTGAATCTGAATCTTTTGTGACAATGGGAAAGAGCTGGAATGTAATTGCTGTAGATTACCTTTCTTATTATAGAGCTGCCGGTAGCAATGCTATAGTTCAAGTCGATGTAATTTTAAATGCACCATGTGACACGTCTATGACATCTTTTCCCCACATTGTGGATATGCTCCTCAATAGAGGAATCCAGTAACTTTTTACAAAGATGTGATAATTAACTGAATAACACAGCTTCTAGATAATGGAGGTGGAATGAGAAAGCACAGAAGAACCTTCTTTCCCTCGGCTTTGGAGCCGAATGAACCGCAGACTTAGTTACAAGGACCCTGCTGGAAACTGATTGCAATTTTTTTTGTATAACATTTGATACAATTTCTGCCACAAAGACATGTGTTCCCTTTCTGTAGCTCCATAATGGTCCAAATACAGGCAGGGCTCGTCACCCCGCAGTCATTTCCAGCTGAAAGGGACAGCCAGCCTTTCTTTGGCTGGGTGTGAGTTGCTTTCATTCCCTGATGAGAGAGGAGCGAGGTGCTGTTAAATGCAAGATTACTATTTTCATTTCTCCTTTTGCAGCGGCGAGGAACTTGGAGCCAGGGGAAAGACCTTGGCTGATGCCAATCAGAGTAACGCCATGGTAGAGGCGGTGGGGGGGTTTGCCATGGCCTTCTACCGGAGGTCTCTCCAGTGAATATTAACAACCTTTTACAGCAGTAGGATGTTGGCTGCCGTGGTGCCCCTGCTTTACCTGTGGCAGGTTAAGGGGTTATGTCTGGTGTTATGTCAGGGTTTTACTAAGAGGTTAGATTATGGATTTGTACAGGGTGGTTTGGATAGGGCTGATCCTGCCTCAGGCAGGGGCTTGGACTAGATGACCCCTGGCAGTCCCTTCCAGCCTGACTTCTCTATGACTTCATGACATTGAGTTAAAAGGAGCTGAACTGGGTTTCAAGGGGGCTACCCTGATTTATAGCAATTAAGAGTCTGACCCCTCTGTTTTAAGCAGATCTGCCCATGGACCAGAAAGTATGGAAAACTTTGAGATCATATGCAGGTACTTAGTGCCTGGGCACCTTCCCCCTAACTTATACCTGTGAAAGATGAGACATGGCAGAAGTCCTGATTCTGGCCCCCGCCATAATCTCCCAGCTCGGCCCTACCCCAAACCCCTCCCTCCTTCCCTTTGTGGGGGGAAACCTGTTGATGGAGCTGATTTCCCTTTCATCAGAGTGTCTTCTGGGAGTAGCGGCCTTGTTCTGGCATGGAGCAGAATGGAGAACGTGGACCTAAGTCTTGGTTTGGCCCGGGCAGTTTATGAACACCCCCCGCCCCAAATGAATTATCTAGTGACACCAAACCAGGAGTTTGTTTTACGTTTCATGGTAACTGCTTCTGACACCAAGAACGCCAGTTCCCAGCCTGAAATTACTTACTTCTCCCCACACAGATGGCTACGGGACCAAGGATGGAATTAATGCAGGCTTCTGAATACGGGCAAAGTGAATGAGCGCTGATGGCATGCATCTGTGCATTCATCCAGATCACAGCTAAACATTTGCTGGGTTGGAAACAGCCCGCTAGGTGTTATCATGTGAAAGGGCAGACAGGTTGCATCTTGAAAGACATATACCTGTGTATGCCTTGGGCAACCTCCTCAGCTGATGTAGATTAGTGTCACGCCAATGATCTGCTACACACACCCAGTGAAGGAACGGCTTTAGTTTGAAGGCCTGGGTGACCTTCATTGAAAATCCAGTCTTTATGTCTCCTTGCGAAGAGGAAAGACAGAGAAGACTGGAGATTTAAGATTTGTTTAGGAAATATTTCTGAAAAGGAACCACAGTATTTTCTCTGCTCTGCCTTACATGTCATTGTTGTTTGCATATCTCGGGACATTTTTTTTTTAATGTCCCTTTTTGGCATTTCTTTATCTAAGTGAAATTTTCCAATCAGTATTTTAGATTTTTTCAAAACTTACATTTTTTTTCATGAATCAGCTTTGTTGAAACTAAAACTAGGATTTGGAAGGACAACAAAGCAAATTTCTGTTGCTCCATCTTACAAATCCTAGTTTTACTTTGTATGTATTGCAGCACCGAGGGTGCCTGGCACCCTTGAAAATAGAGCACATCGCAAGGCAATGGGAAATATTTTTCGCTTCTTATGTTGCCGATAGTTCAAAATGTAAAAAGCTCTGGAGCCCTTGCTACCTTCCCTTGCAGATCAGCCCATGACCTGACCTTTTGTCTGAACCTCAGGCATTAACCCCTGCCAAATACCTTGTGATCCCAACACCGTAGTGCAGTCAAGGGAGTGATTTCATTCAGCTCCCTGCTCCAAGGAGTCTCCCAGCATGTCTTGTCATCCTTAGGTCCATCTTTCAAGCTCCAAATGCTCTGAGTCAAGGTTACCTTAACAGTTGCCATCTTGTGTAAAAACTGGTCTCAGTTGCTCAAGCTTCCAGCAAAGGAGACTTCCACATGTTTCCTGAAAAGAAAACTCTCTTTCAAAGCTCATCTTGAAAACTGACCTGCAAATACAAAGTGAATCCAAAAATTATGGTGTGTGTTAGGGGGGAGGTCTAGAAACTGCAGGTTGCTCAGTTTGCTTGTGCTAATCTGAGCAGACTCAGCTGCACACACACGTTTTAATGACCTGGGAGAATTCTCCTGGCAGAAAAACTTACCTGGAGACACTTGAACAGAGATTCGAATACTGAGCCCCTGAAGAGCAGAGAGCTTAAAGCGCTGATGCTGTGCAGCCAGGGAGCGAGCCCCTGTGCACACATCTCAGCATGCTCTGCAGGCTCCCTCAGTCTGCCTGGTGAAAGATGACAGCATGCACAGGGCAGCCCTGATTGGCTGATCCAGACTACTCCGAGTCAGCCTGTATCTCCCTGCAGTACGATGTGGGATTCTGAAGAGGGATTGATCTGCTCCCTGCTTGGCTGGCGGAGCAGAGTCCAGCCTGACTAACACTGTGACCGGGGCGGAAGGAGGAGGCAGAAGCAAAACACCTTAGGATGCTGGAGGACTCTTCTGTGGCTTCTCTCAGAAGGGAAAAGTGTACAGACATTCGTTCTCCCAGGACAAGCTCTCCTGGGAGGGATTTTGCCCTAGTTGTTCCCAGGTTATTTTTCTCCTAGAGCAGCCATTTTTGCTCTGGGAGAAAAATCCTGAACACCTGTACGCTCATGGTTTCTCCAGAGAGAGCAGCAACTGTCCCAAGAGAAGCTGAATGTCTGCACATTGCCTCAGTTACCAGCGGTGACCAGAAACATTGACTGTCTTAGCTTGCTTCCTTGTTTTAATTGCTATATTAGTATACATTTTACAGAACATGTACAGAATGTGTATAGAGGCATTGCTGCACATAACGTACACAGATATGGTACTAATAGTTGATACATTAGCAAATCCATGGGTATGCCAGTATACTGGTATCAGTTTGCATGGATACAGACCTGTTTCTTTCTTAATGTTGTTTTTAGATTTAAATTATAAACTGGATGAACTGGAAGAGGATGGGGTTCAGTAGGTCCCATGCATCTCAGTCTGTCTCATGGATTTGAAGCATTGAGTCTCTATTCTGAATAAACCATAAGCATTAAAAAATCATCACTTCACTAGGAATATTGATTAATTGTCACAACATGAAAAAATAAGCAATACACTTTTGCGTGACTACATGAGCTATCTGCTTAGACTTTATTGATAAAAACCAGTAGCAACATTAGTCACTGTAGTAAAATCAGACTATTTCTCAGCTTTGAATGCTGATGTAGATACATGGGGGTTCAGTAAAGACATTTTGCAGGAGATGGGGGTAACACTTTTTCCAGTGCGATCCCATCAATATATAGATATTCCTAACATAGCATAGAATTAGCAAGAGGCAATATATTGTAGGAACATGCACAAGGAGAATAAAAATGTTTCTTCTTCAAAAACTTGAAAAGCAACATGTAAGTCTGTATCACTCATTCTTCCCTATAAACAGATGTTCAGAAACCTTCTCATTAGTCACATTTTCCCCACAGTTTTGCACTTTAGACCCCTCTTTCAAAGCACGTAGATGGATGTCCATGTCATTCCAGTTGCCTTCCCAGCCCGTACCAGTTATTTTTTAACTAGGCTGAAAGGACAATTGTCTATGCAATCTTGAATGTTACAAAAATGAAAAAAGGGAATCTGAGTTCAATATTCTACCCAGAGTAATAATGATTTGTCTTTTTGTCTTTTTTCTTTTTAGCAACTGAGCTCCTCTGAGCACAGAGCAAAGGGATAAATTAATGTTCTGCTAGATGCACTTTTACTCGCAACAAAGTTTGAATTTGGCTTTGTGTTCATCTCTTCCTATCGTTACTTCCTTAAGAAGCCAATTCATAGCTAAGGCATGTGCTTGATAAGCCAGAAGCACCAAAAGCGATATTACTTGTTCCCTGACTCTTGTGCTCCAAATTATTTGGAATGCCCCTTGGACTGCTACCTGCTTTGTGATCCACTTTATTTATATGAAAGTAAAGTAAGGGAAAAGTTCAAACAATCCCAGTTTCTCTTGGAGTGACCCAGATCACCATCAAGTAGACCTAAAGGCCAAGTGACCCAGATCACCATCAAGCAGACCTATTACCCAGCCCTATCTATTCATATTCACACACACACCTGGTGGAGATGGAGCGCTGTACCTAGCATGTGTTGCTGAAAGACTTGGAATGAGCTATGTACTGTACAGGAGAAAGATTGGAGCATATATATAAAGGCAGTGCATCTCCAGGGTCCAGCTGTCAATGCAACAATAAGACAGTAAAAACCTATGCCAGGAACATTATATGGATCCAATGTAGAAAGAGTCCAATATGCACTAGAAATAGCTTGTTATGTACAATATATTCAAACCAACCAGGCAGATATACATTTAAATGTGCTTCATGCATGTGCCCTAGGGCACTTGACTGTAAAACATTTATAAGGTATAAATGCAATCAAATATTTAAAATGCTAAAGTGAACAAGCTTGCTTATTCTACTCTTTATGATGAAGAACAGGTCAAGTTCTCCGCTGGGGTAGTGACACTGAAGTTAATGCAACAGCACCAACAGACAGCTTGACCCAGTAAGACAAAAGACCTGACAGCAACAGCAGAGGGTTATGGGAAGTATGTGGTGTGTGCCCAACTGCGAAGTTTGTGCTTGAGACGCCACATAGTGACAGCAAGAGATTAGGCAACAGGTTTTATCCTGAGCACCATGCACAGAAAATATTGTTATCACGTACAGACCTGACTTGGAGCAGATCTCTGTAGTTCCTAACAAGTGCAGATGGGTGAAGTGAGGATGGAAAGGGCGAGACCTAAGGACTCATTGGAACAGGGGCTGGAAAAGCCTAGTGACAGCTTGGGCTGGTATCTGGCTGGTGGCAGGAAGGAGGTTTTCCCTCTCTTAATTGTGAGTACTGGAATTTTATGATAAAAACAAAGGAAAAAGTATCTGGCTGTTGGCACATCTTCATTTGAGTTTGGGACTTATTTTGTTGGCTGGGGCACAGGAAGGAATGGACAAGGTGGCAGCTGAATCTGCAGGAAGAATGGGTTTGGATTACTTAAAGGATGTTGTACTATCTTCGCTCCATGCTGCGTGCAAAGTTCTTCCATGTGTTCATCTGAGGACATGAAAGTTCCCTTCCATGGCTGGGCTTTGCTTTTCTCCAGGGATTGTCCAATACTTGAAACACTGAGTCAATGCAGGCAGTGGACAACTTGGATGCTAATGAATTTGGGTGCAGACAAAGGACACATTTGCTCTGGAGTGACCTGATTTCACTCCACAGGAAAAGCCAAGTTGGGCACCTGATGTCCAGCTTTCCTACCAAGTAAGCCACTCAATTCCAGGGTAAAGCTGCCCCTGGAAACAGCTGAAATAACTTGGCCCTGTACATTTAGAGGCTCTGGAGCTCCAAGCTGTTTTGTCCCAGGATAGTTATTTGCAAACAGGCTAGGACTGGCTCCTATACCTCCTAGACGCCCTGTCATAGCACCTCTCCCATGCAACTACCTCCAGAGGGCTGTTTCATGACTGCTAGCACCTTGATGTCATTCTACTTCAGAATAAAATTCAAGGTAAATTATCCTGGGATAAATGTTCTGTGTGTCCACACCCTAAAGTGGTGTCTTAGAGGACACATTGGTCTGACTATGTGGAGCCTCAAAGAGCAATGCATTCCAGTTACTGCTCCAAACCATTAGCTATTGATGAAGATACTCATGCACGACTGGTGAAAAACTATGGATACTCCCAGGTGCTTGCACCTGAGGTCGTCCCTGGTGACACCCAAATGAAGTTATGACCTTGTGCCTGACCTTGCCATGCATCATCAGATATATTTCAGCTAACATCTTATTGCAGCTACTGGTGATTTAGGGCACATGCTTCTTATATGGCTTCACAGGCCCTCCAGGCTTTCCACATGTGCACTCTTCTTATTCAACAGCTACAGGCCTGGTTTCAGCAGGGAACAAAGCTGGTCTGACTTTAAAAAGAGCCATGCAAAACACAGGACCTAGTATTTTCAGTAGATGGCTTTATGTTCTTCCTTACTTAGAAACGCTTCCCTGTGTACACCATAATTTCAGCACAGACCATGCAGGGTAGGGTGTTGTCAGGGGTTCTTTTTGGGTAGCCTTTCTGTCTGACATGTACTTACTACCAGTGGAGGTAGTCTGGTGAGACAGAATGACCCAGTATCTGAGGTTTTGCTGGTAGCTCCAACTCACTTCTCAGGTCCCCAAAATCTTCAAAAATCTGTGCATTTTTAAAAAAAGACCCAAGGCTTTGTCTTCAAGCTTCCCAAAGAGGAATATGGGCAAGCTGGAATTGATCACTGTGAGTCCCAAATGGCAGCTAGCTCTCTGGCACTAACTCAGATCTTCGAAGGTTTCTGCCCATTCACAGTTCAGCTACTATGTCATTCACTGGATCCAGGGTGGGCGATCATTAAAATATCTTTCCATTGCAGGATCCTACTAATTACCCAAAGCCACAGCCTTGCTACCCATCGCTGGCTGCCTTGCAAAGGCAACTGATAGGCCCAGATTTCATGACCACAGAAATCAGAACGATCCATTCCTCCTTAGGGTTTTCTACTGCATAGGCACCCAGTACTCATCGTAGACACCTAAGTGCCAGCTGGGGCACCAATGTAGGGCAACAGGTAGCCTCACTCAGGCAACCATGTTTGAAAACTGGGCTCCCACCATCCTGTGGGCAGGGATGCATCTAGGGAGGGCGCTGTGTCATTCCAGACATGCAACGCAAGGCATGATCCTGTGTCATTCTGGACATGCAACGCAGGGCATGATCCTGTGTCATTCCAGACATGCAATGCAGGGCGTGATCCTGAGACCTGACCTCATGGACCTTTAAAGAAAAAACTTGAAGACAAGTGGATAGTTTTAGTAAGATCTGATTTTGGGGGTGGGATTTATCTGTGTCAAGCATCACTTGTCACTCCAGGCTGGATGATGCTTTGAGCACAGATCCTGTATGAAAGGGCATCTGGGTGGCGGTAACACAAGAAGAGTATGTTTAGGGGCTCCTCTATCTTTTCTGTGAATGATTTTGGACTAGGAAGAGGGAGGTGGTCATGCCAGAAGAGATGAATATCTGGTCCTTTGTCCTATCTGCCCTACTGTCCGATATCTAGCCAAGGTGCAACCCCTGTTCAACAGTGCAATTTTTTGCTACATCCACGGGGATGGGGTGGGGTGATCTTCCTGATCCTGTCTGAGAAGCACCTTGTAGTTGAAAGTATGAGGATTGATATCCTTTGCCATTTGTAGCTGCTACTGATAATCTTATCCACATGATCTCCTTTGGATTCTGTGCTTGTAATTTGTTCTATGCAGACGGCCTTGTGTTCCTGTGAAGCGCCTCTCTCTTTTTAATAAAAAAGTCACTCAAAATACGTATACATCTCCTTCAGAGCCTTTCCTCACTGTTTATTTTCATCGCAGTGTCTTATCTAACAGCTGATTACACCTGCTAAAGACTCCGAGTAACCGCGAATAACTAGGGTTATTTGGAAGTAGTTTGTACTTCTTTTCCAGCTCAGCTCTAAGACTCGGAGGATGTTTTTGGTTTACAGGATGCGTCGCTCCAAAGGAGAGTTGCATCTCTCAGGCATTGAGAAGCTGCCTGAGGCTTGGACAAATATTTGCCTCCAGTACTATACACAGAACAGAGAAAACTTGGCTGCTTCAAAACTGAAGCAGTCTGTGGACGCCTGATTTGGTCCCTGCCTGCATGTCCCTCGGATGGGCTGCAAGCATCATCCTCAGTGCATTTCAGGGGGATAAAGGTGCTTTTGCATGGTAAATTGTATTTCCTTTAGGGTCTCTTGCCCTTTTAGGATATATAATGACCATTAAAGGTGCTTGAGACTATGAGAACTATTACCTACCAAAAGCTGTGACAGCTTAGGGCTTTTTATAACTGTATCCTCACACAGGCTGTACTAGGACAAGTATTTTGGTTTAAGAAAAATCACAGTTCTAGCCAACACAGTTCTAGGGGTTCAATGCCTGCAGGTAGACAAAACCTAATACAGTTGGTCCAATAAAAGATATCACCCACAAGCAGTCTTGCCTCTCGTATGAACTCCTGAACCATCCTGGCAACAACTTCACTTCAGCGCTGACAAAACCTAAGTCAGACAGAGCCTTATAAATTAGGAGGACAATCTTGAAAGGCACCAACCAGGAGACAAGGAAAAGGTAATATCAGGCAGGGTCGAGGAATGGGTGGAAGTGGGGGTGCCAGGCCCCAAGCTTGGGGGACACCCCTCCCGGCTCAGATAATTTCCTGGTTCAAAATAGAAGGTGGGGACCCCCTACCCTGGAACATCTCTCTTCCAGGCCCTGGTACCAGGGCAAAAGAAATTGGAGGGCAATGCTTCCCCTCCCCTGCCTCAGTCTTCGTACTATATATCTGCATATTGGTGGACAGGAGATGGTTGATCACCAAAAAAAAAAAGGTACTGAAGTGAAGTAATCAGATGGATTAAAGATGATGATACACATCGGGCTGAAAAGAAAGCTCAACATGCAGGCGGTCTTCAAGGTCATTGCCGGCTTCATCTGAAGGACAAGGAAAGCTGCCACTGGTGGATAACCCCTCGCTCCTCAGGAGGACACCTGAGACTGTGTGCTGGGAAACAACCGTGAGCAGCTGGCAGTGCAGAGCGGTTGCAGTTCAAGACTGTCCAAAGACATTCATGCCAGAGCATCGGCCCATCGCATAAAGTGCCCAGCTGCTGCATGGCTCTGCAGCAGACAAAAACACATTGGAGTATTGTATGCGCACCCATGACTCTATAAACCAAACCCCAATCGCCCATGGGGGAAGCATGTAGCATTCAGCTGTCTATAGAAACAAAAGAGAACCCCACCCCTATGGAAGGCCAATGTGAGGGCAAAAGTCACTCAATGTAATCAGGACATTGGTTTAGATTTTTTTCTTTTCATTGGCAGAAAACAGTTCAGATAAAGCCTTTGTAAACAGGCAGCTCCATAGCCCGATACATCAACAGAGTCGAGTCCTCTGTTGGACTCTCAGATGAATTCAGTATTGCGAGAGAAGAAAATAACATTTGGTGAGATGATCTTGCTTGTTGATGCATGTAAAAAACCACCAGACAGACTACCAGGAGAGATGGTCTCCGGTCCCCCCCGAAAGGAACAGACAGCAGTTGTCAGAGGCGCGCTGGCAGGCACACGGCGATGGTTACAGAACAGCTGTCCACAACACGTTTGGGTAAATCAGTACCAGTAGCAACTTCCCTAACAAGAACTTAATAAATGTTATAAAGGGAAGGAAAAATCCAAAGGAGATGAAAGGAAATCCTGGTCAAGGGTGGCAAAGGGAGAATAATTATCCAAAAACATGAGCATAAATGGGAAGTTGAAAATCTCTGAGATCTCATGGCATGGCAGCTCAAGCTCTGTTTGCCATTAGTTGCACGCACTGCATCTTCAACTACTCTATCCAAGCCTCTTCTCCTGACCTTAAGGGCTGTGGGATTAGTGTTCAGTATTTCTTTCTCCTCTCTCGGACAGCAGGATCCTCCAGAGTTAGCAGAACATGGAAATTCATAGATAGTAGATTGTAAGGCAGGAAGGGACCTCGGAAGATCATCAGGTCCAGCCCACACCCGATGATCTTGGGTCCAGACCTCGGAAGATTATCAGGTCCAGCCAAATATATGCGTTGAGGTCGCCGCGATCATAGAGTTGAGTATTTGATGGACAGCAGAATACTATGAGGCCCGTCAAGGAACGGAAGCGTCTCTGAAGACTAATTTCTTTTTACCTTCTCCAGTGTCATTGGCAGAGAAAAGTGAGCTCAGAAAAACGACTGACACTGCAGTCACCTCTACAGAATGCAGAAGGGGATTATGGGCACAATTTATTGATGTAACCAGATCCAAGATATCTATGCAAAGAGACATATAGGTTGAGGAATATGCAGGCAAGTGGCAAAATGTAGCTGCCAAAAAAAATCCCCTATCATCAGGAGTGAAAAGAAAAAAAATATATTAGAGAGGTGCATCATTAATTGCAGCAAGAGAAAAATGAACATAAACCTATAAGTATAAGCACTCAGAAAGGTAAGCTTGTCTCAACATTACTCAGTCCCTCCATACTTCATCAGGAACTCGATGCACAACAAGAACATGTTGCTCTGGACTCCGTGCATTGATTAACAGGTTTCAATAATTCCACCTCCCTGAGCAATTTTCCTTGGTAAGAACCAGGACAAATCACTGCTGTAACAATTGATACAACCACCAATGCCTTTTAATGCCAAATATCCACGCAAAGCATTAAGAATTAATATGGTCTGAATTGATTTAATTACTTATTCCCGCTGTACTGTGACCAACTACTTGCGACAGTGTAAATGTATTTTAAAATGATTTCCCTGTCTATAATCTTCAAAATAGATCTTGATGTGAAACACTGTGGAAGTCCAAAACCGCTTAACTTAATTCCTCTTGAAAAGGATCTGTACCAAGATTGAACAAGGATGAAGTGTAAAAACATATGTTATTATACATCTGGGGTACCTCCAGCTAGTTTCTGCAACTTCTGAACAATATGTAATTATTTTAGCTTTATATTAGTTGCATGTGGCATCTGATATGAACAATGGGTTATTAAATGAACTCCTGTAAGTTTATTGTGTATGCACAGCCCACGTAACAAAACCACCTCGTGCACTCACATATACAGTTGGTGCGGCTCAGAAAAAGGAGTGATGCAAAGATTACAACGCATAACTGCAATAATGACGACACCGGTCGAGCAGGACAGATCACGGTGCTTTTGTCCTGATGTGAAGCACACTGTAGGGGTAACAAGCCCTAGATTGCTAGATTTACCACTTAACTGCTCAACTGAGCTCCATTTTATTTTCAGCCTGTGATTGAGCAGCGCTAACACTGCAGCCAAAGATGAATTTGTTTGCTGGATTATATGGGCCACATCCTGCCATGGCAACTTTGTGCTGCTCTCTCTGGTCTCAGAGGCCTCGAGGTCTGTTACTGCCTTAACTGCCCCTTCCTCCTATCTTGCACACTCTCCTTCCACCTTGTTGCATCTGTGCCTATCCCTTCTGGATCATTTTTTACATTATTTTCCCATCATTGCCTTGTTCTATTTCTAGGTCCGATACCCTCCACCTCAGCTTCCAAGGCCTGCCTCGCACGCCTTCTCTCTTGTGGAGGTCCACAAGCTTTTGATCATGTCTTCTTTTCCATGCTCGGTTTTCTTGTGCTGCACCAAATATTTTTCATAGCACTTTTGTTTTCAAACTCTTGCAGCTTTTCCATTTGTGCTGCTCTAGAGGTGCCCAATAGCCCTTCTGCCATTTTAATGAAACAGCAGAGCATATTTCCACTAAGCAAGATGCAATAGAGCCATTGCTTTAAGAAGAAAGCTAGAAGAAAGGCTGTGTGGCTGGGGTGGTCCTATCTACTGGACTGACCCACCAGCCACCCCTCCTTGTTGCTGTCACTGCTTCCCAGGATGGGCTGATCGGATGCGGCTCAGGGTTGAGGCCTGTGCTAGAAGTGGAGTACAGATGAGATGTGTGTGCTTCTTCCTGGCACTGCAGTGGTACCACTGAGACTGGACTTTGGCCCAGCTGCTCACTACATGGGAAAAGCAAACCAAAGCACGTGGATGAATCCAACCTGAGAGGCCCTCGCAGTGAAGTACTTTTTGTGCCTCACTCAAGATGACAGGAGCAGTGCAATACCAATCTGCTCCAGCTGAAAACTTCAGGCTAGAGATGTGGCCATAGGCATCAGCTGAAACCGCTACTAAAGACAGCATTTCTCTTGATCTGGGAGAGCCAGTATAATCACTGGATAGGGCTATAAACTGCATCGCTACTCACATTGCTCTGCAACAGCCAGAAGTGCTAAATTGCCAACTGCCCAGGAGCAAAATGAGGTTTCTTTCCTGAACTATTGTCTCACTGGGCCTGAATTCACTTTGGAAACGGGATGAAAAAGGTGATAATGAACATGTAAGTGCTGCTTTGAAATGCAGGCACATAAATGGGCCCCTTGAACCAGGCGATCTGCTCTGTGTGTGCATTCAGTCACCACTGGGCAATATAATGCCTTTCGTTCCTATTATCCCTGCAGAGATCTGGTCTGCGTTGTGGGGCTATTACCACTACAGCTTTGCCAAGAGAGCTATGGCAGTAGGGCTCTGTCCTGGAGACTCAGGATACGGATGAAGGGATTAGCAACGCCATCTCTCCAAGCAACAGAAGGCTTCTTCTGTTAGCAGAGCTGCAGCCTGATTGGGATGGGAGGGGGCAACTTTGAGGGCATGGGTTAGGTGATGTCATTTTTTTCTACCCCACTACCAAAACCTTACAGTGTAGCACTGCCCTAACACAGTCAGCTGGTTCTAGTCCTTCCTGTGCATTATCAACAACATTGCTGGAAAGGGGTGGGCTCCTGTGTAAGTGATATCACAGGGTGGCTTGCAGACTCCTTTACTTCTAGTGATGCCAAAGTAGGAAAGGAATTCGGCATGACTCGCAAATCCACCAGAAGATTTTACAGGGCCAACAGCTAGAAAAAGCGTTTTGCACCTGAAGCATATTTGCTGGAGCCCTTGAGAAACAAGACCCATGAAGCTTCCCTGGGCTGCATTTCCAGAGTCACCTTTCCAAGTGAGCCTCCCATTTAAAGAAATAGTGACCGAGGCACCATGGTGGGCATGCTTGTTCTGGTCTCCTTAATTTTGTTATTCACAATGATAGAAGCCACAAGCTGGGGAAACCAGGAAGCCTCTATGCATGCATTGTACAACGCTATCTTAAATCAACACACATGCAAACACTCAGCGATACACAATAAAAATTGCACAAGAAGGGAGACATGCTTACTTCAAATAGCACTTAGTCTAGTCAACAGTACCCATGCTAACCCAGCTGAGTAACGGCAATCTCTAGGCACTTAGAAGTCGACAGAGAACTCTCTAGTGCTTTCCCATGCTACCTGAAAATACATTATTCAGTCACACGTGGTATCAAATGTTTATTTCTAGGACTAAGACAGGGATAGCAAGAGGGTAGAAAGAGTTGGTTGTTTTTTCCCCCCCTAACTTCTTCCCTGTTGGCTATTTACTTGGGTGAGAAAATATATATGAAACCCCTTAAAAGGCAATGGATAAATCTGCTGACCAGGCTGCAGCCACCTACATTCACCGTGACTGTTAAAAAACTAGGTGAAATATGACCGGATGGTTTTTGACATTTGCAATGGGATGACTGCTTTCAGCTGGGTGACACTGCCTGGGTGGGGGTGAGAAGACCAGCGCACAGTCCTGGGAGCTCAGAGTCGCACCAGGGACCGCTAGGACTCCAGTAGGGTGTGCCACCTACAGACCTGCTGCCCCTTTGTCTCCTTCATTTCCTGCCAATGGTTTTGCTCTTCTTCTCCACTGCTGTTCTGACCCATAGAAATCCAGCCAATCATCTCCTTGCGCTTCATGCTGCGTCTGTTGTATATGGAAATCATCAGCGTGACATCAGAAAGCTGAAAAAGGGCGACCTGGAAGACGAACGTCTCCTTGTAGACGGGGTTTGGCTGTCCACGACGGATGGAGGTCTTGCACCGAGACATCTCCTGGCCCATGGAGTTGAGAAGGCAGAGCTTCCCATAGGTATCTAGGGCAAAACAAAGAGGAAAAGGGCTTAGCTCTGGAGAAGGAACAGTGTGGGGAAAAAGAGTCGAAGTTGAGTGACACTTTTCCATGGGAGTGGAACAGACACGAAGAAAGGGACCTGAGCAGGTCCTCTTGGAAGTTCTTCATCATTCGGTAGGAAGTGCGGAAATCAAGCTGAGTTTACCTTTGCTTTCATGACCTAGCCACAGGCCTGCCCCCCAAAGCTTTGATGAGTAGGTATGAGTATGTATTTTTAGGCATCTCTGTGGAGAATTCATACCAGCAGAGGCCTCCGAATCCCCCCTCCACTTCCTAGCACCATAACTCTGCATTGGAGCTGCTTCATCAGCATCTCCCCTGGTTCCACTTGCTTCACACGACTCCCCTTTAAAAGGGGGGAAACCTGCTACCTGCTATCTTAGATCATGACACTCTTCCCCCAAGCCAACAGTGATCTACAGGGTCTGGAAATGTGGTTGTGGGAGAATTGACTTGTGGGAGAGGGCAAAGATGACAGTATGAGCTGGCCATAAGCAAACACTTCATTGCAATATTGCAAGTTTGCAATAAAATCCCCCCTTTTTTTTTTTGCTTTTCCCCCTGCATGCAGCAGAATCAAGGCCATTTCCGTTCACTGGTCCAATTTTGTAGTCTACAGGCTTCTACATAAAACTACGCTGCTTCTGGAAGTGCCACTAATACACACCCTGGAGAGTCAAAGCTTTCTGGTCCCATCTCACCATTGCCCAAGTCCTGCTCAGCCCAAGCTGACAGCTGATGATGGCATTTGGGTCACTTTGTCAGGCAGACCCAGCTCTCACCTCTTTACAATCGAAGACCACGCTCTTGTAATTTTATGTCATCTCAGAGTGCACTGCAGATAGGAAATAAAATTACAACCCACCGTCTCCTTTCTCCAGCACGTCTAGTCTTTTCTATTCCGGTTTGATGTGCTATTTTACGCACTTATCTGCTGAGAAACACAAGGTGTGAAATTACACTTCAGGTGTGAAAACACTTGTGTCTCTCAAAAGCCGGGCTCTCCACTCCTCAAACTGTTCCTCTGAAAAAAGCCGTCAGGAAGCTGACAATTGAGGAGCAAATTGTGAGCCTGCACAGCTGTACAGCTATCCAGTTATGGCGGGGGAAAAGTTCAACCCAGTCACCAGCTCGCGATGCCAATTTGTCTGCCAACATAACATTTGAGATGAAGTGAATCTTGCCAACAAAGTCCTGCTCGTTAGGCAGAAAAGGAGAGCGATTTCAGTCTTTATGCTATCATAACTAGTTTGCTGATTGTGGTTAGGAAGGAAAGAACCACTTAAATAAAGGAAGGTGAAGGGCCCAGGTGCTCGAGGTAGGTTTGGGGGTCCACATGCTTTACAGAGACATGGACATCATCCCCACCTCCGGCCCACTCTCTCTGCGACTCTCTGGGGCTGAATTTAAACAAAAATACAAATGTAGTCCTTTTCTTGCTCAAATGAAGATTGACGCCAAGCAGAGGATTCCTTCTAGTACTTGTCGGGATTTTAATATTTTAACCAACTTCCCTGATAGAAATTTGTCATGGGGTAACCAGAAAGCCTGGCCTCTGGAGAAAGGCCTACTGAGGCTTCTTGTAGATCAAGTCTAGTTGAGGCGGGGGCAGAAATCATGGGTTCTTTTTCCTCCAAAAAAGTTATTTTGGATTTCAAAAGAGTTGATTTTGGAGAGCGGGGGGAATGAGACAGCCTTAGAGGCGGAGAGGGGAAAAAATAAATCAGGAAACATCTTTGCTAATGTTTCATAAAATTCCAACGTCACATTTTTCACAAAACATCAACATATTCACCCAGCAGATACCCCGGGGTATCTAGGGAAATATACGTTCTTTCATTTAGCATGAGGCAAACTGAAAGGATAAATTGGTGGTGTGGGCACAGAGGAGACAGAGGCTCCCGGACAGGAGACCTTATCTTGGCCCCTATTCCCCTCGTCCCTGGGCTCAGAGTGCTTTTCAGTAAGGCAGTAAACAGCTCCGCCAACATCTATCATGTGAAGTTCATTTTTTCAGCTTTTCTTTCCATCCCCGCTTCAGATAGTCAGGTATTTCTCGGGGAAAACAGAGAGAAGGCGTGAGCTCTGAATTTGCCCGCTCTCATGAACTAGCTTCCTTGCTGTCTCTGGACCCAATATGCTGGGCCTTGGGTTGAACAACAGATAAATTATCCATAAAGTTCAGCAAA